TGAGGAACTGCCAGAATCAGTGGCAAATCCATCACCTACATTGGTGTCCCCTGATCCTATCTGGGACTCTCAAATAGCAGTCCTCAAGGGAAACCATGTTTCTGTCTCTATAGTCAGCAAATGCACTCTGGTGACCAACAGTTTTATGCATGGACTAGATTCTTGTCATGTACTTTATCCCTTGAAGCTAACTGAAATGAACATTGGAAATTTAAAGTTGATGATAACATATGATATCCCATATGTTAGAGAAGAAAAGAAAACTCAAAGGCATAACCCACCAGCACTTGATGATTTTATTAAGATACAACGATACCGTTACCTAACTATAGCAGAAGATGTTTAGAAACCAGTTATTTCAGGATAAGTTGTTTTAGCAGTCCCAATGTCTTTTAGTGTTTGATGGGAGACTACAGTGATGCTGGTAAGGACTAGGATCCTACGCAGGACATGCCTTACAAAAAGAAAGACTGATTTAAGAACTTTATGTATAAGCTCAGTAATAAAACGTTATTACACTTATGTACATGCACAGGTCTCCTACAAGTCAGATCTATCAGAAGAGAGGTTATGTTCTGTGTAAGAAAAAACAGAAGAAGTAACCTTGCAAATCTGAGCTACTGTCAGTATTTGTCTGGGACACTAAGTACTTCTTGGACTGTTTCTGAAATATTTTCTGAATTCAAGTTTTCTCTGAGTGTGGGTAAAGTTAGTATATATGTAACAACAAATATCTGTACCCCATATTTGTCATGGGGAGGAGCATACAGAACCCTCCTAAAAGCAATTTAACATTCCTGGTGGACAGAAACATACCTTTTTTCTGCAGATCGAATATTATTGTTTAAATTTTCTCAAGCCATTTCACTTTTTCTGTCCTAACATGTTTATATTTGAATTACAGATAAATGCATATATATATATATATATATATATATATATACCTTTCTCATGATGATCAATATATTTATCTCATTCAAATAAAGGACATATGGGTCACCAACAGCAACAATGTGGATCAGGCAAAGTTGTACAGCCATTGTTATATTAAAGCCTGATTCTGAACTGAATTATATTTGGCATTGCTGTCATGGAGCTTGCTATGATCTCTCAATTTTTGACATGAACTTGAATATTTTTGCTTTTATTCAGATGGGTCACTATGTATTATTTCTTTTAACAAGCCTGAAGCATCATACTGCTGAGTCACATTGACTGCATCTACCTGTATCCCTGAAGAGTAAAAGATAGCTGTTTCTAGTAGATACTAATCAAGAGTAAACCAGAAGGACTTTGAGGGAAGCTGGCCCCTTCTTTTCTCTTATGTTCAGAATGGTGGTCTGGGAAATCTGAGGGGAAGATGTGCTGAAGCAAGAGGGGCTGATGACATTGCTAGGGTATGATATGAAAAGGCCCAAGGTGTAGGGATGAGACATAAAGAAGAGTTTGTAGGCTGCAGAGGAGCTGGAAAGGATGGGGAAAAGGCTGAAGAGGGTTGTCATCGAGAACAATTGAGAAAAGTCAAAAGAAAACACACAATCTAGCTGATCTTTTATTTGTCCTTAGGCATCACTTTAGTAAATCTCTGAATAATTAACTAAATTGAATAATGAATAATCCAACTCATGTCTTTGAGCATTACTGTTAAAATTGGCCTAGCTCAGTCATGGGTTGCAGTCTTAGATCATGTTAATTTATAGACTTAGACACCATCAAACTATTCAGGAAAAAGAAGAAAAATATTACAGAAAAAAAACCTCAAATGACAATCAGTTCAAGGAGGAGCAACTCCGGCTGATCTGCCTCTCACAAGTAGCTCACCAGCTGACAGATAGACCCCAAAATTGCCATGAGTGTGGGTATCTAAGGGTGGCCCAGCATAATTTTTCTGCTCCTTGAGCTGCACTAAATGTATCATTGGACCTCTGGAGCTCTGCCCCACAAGTCAAGAGTGAGTTACTTTCAGATAGTTGTACCCGTCCTCTCCTCTCTGTCCTTCCCTCTGACATTCCCCATTTGTCCCAAAGAAGTCTCAGATGCTTATGAAGCAGCTGCTGAACTTCCACAGATTACAGCCTGGGGTTTCATGGAAAACCCAACTTCATATTCCTCCCTCAATACACCTGGGCATGAGCTACCACTGTACAGCCTGTGCTTTATGAACAGCAGTCCCAAGTCAAGCTGTCCCATTCATTATCTCAGGGGCTTTAGGTGGTCCCAAACTGCAATATGGCAGGAAATTTGTACTGGTACTTGCAGCAATGCATTTTGCATTCTCTTCCACACTCTCCCCAAGCCTTTTTGTTATTTGAATGAATCCATGAGAGGTTTTTTCATTTACGTGCTAATAGAGCTTTTGCCAAGGGTGTTTTGCAGCTTCACATTGCAACAGGGTGAATCACATGTTAACAACACAACCAAGTTCCTCAATGTCAGGTTCCTTCAGCATCAGTAACTTTGGAAACAAGGGATTAAAGAGGATATACTGATTACTCAGGGTGGGATTCACCTCACCTACCTTCAGCCATTCAGAAGTAAGGTGTCAAGTGCAACCTGGATATTTAGGCTTCTCCAGAAGAATCGAATATAGATGGGCTTAGTCACTACCTGCAGTTGCCATGCTTGCTTTTTCCTCCATTCAGTACACAGGGAACACAGGCAACCAGCTTTAACTAGAAGTCTAACATTTAGATGACTTAATTTAGGTGAGGTCAAGCCTGTCCTACATGTGTGCCTTGTGAAAGGGCTGTGTTTGTCTCAAAAGGAATAGTACTTCATAGCAAAAAGCAACTTGAACTTTGAACTAATTTAAGAAATTCAGTATCAGTGCCAGCTTTGAGTCAAAAGTACCTTTGACTGCCTTTGCCTTGAGCTTAAAGAACAGGTATTTCATATCAGGAAGGCTTGAGTCGGGAAAGAAGAGTTAGTTGTGAGGCAACAAGCAACTCTTACTCACCTTCCTAAGGGATGCTGGAGGCTTCTTCCCCCACCCCATTTCCTTTTGTCTTAAAACCAAAGGTGCAGTATGACACACATAAATAAAAACCGGCTCTCATGCAAAAACCTCACGCCCATTAGCTTCCATACACTGCAGAAACAAGACCTGGAGCTGATAACCTTTGTGAGGCACAGTTATGAAGAAATTGTAGTTAATGTTCTCATTCCTCTGTTGTGGTACCGCACCTCTTCTAGACACTTCAATCAGGGATACAGATAGGCTGTTACAGAAGAAATAGAAAATGTATGTGCTATTGTGTGTACAGTTACTCTTGTCTAAACTGTTTCTGGTCACCATTTTTACAGAAAAAAAAAAAAAAGAAAAAGAAAAAAGGCAGATTCTACAAATATTTTTACAGAAGTGCAAGTGCTTGTACATAAGCAAAACATTGGTCAAAGAATGCGAGAGGCATGTGACTATCCTTTGCTTATTGCTGTAGTTTATCTAATTCTGGTTTCAATTAAGCACTTTCTGTTACATCAAAAAGTTTCAATACGATGAGGGTGAGTAAGGAAGTTCACAGCAAACCTTCCCTTGCACAATGTGATAAAATGATGAGCTTATTTAATTAAAAAAAAAAACAAAACAAACCAACTAAACAAACAAAATAAACAAAACCAAACCCCCAAAACCCCAGAAAATATAGGCATAAAATTAAACCTAAGAAATCAAACTTTTGCAAGAATGAAATACTGCAGGTAATATGATCAAGTTGTCTTAACTTGCTCTCCTTGTAACACCAGCTTTTCATATTGATTTCCCTGTGCATATAAGAAAAGTATGTAATGAGACTGCTAGAAGTGATTGGGTTTGTGTCTAGTTTCTGTCAGTCAAGGTCCTTCAACAACACTCATTGCCACAGAGTGGCTGTGATTTCATACTTATTCAGGTCTCTAATAGGAAGCATCATACTTTGTCATCCTATTAATCTCAAATCCTTCCATAATCACTACTTTTCATCATTTGGGAGGACTTTCAATACAAATGTATGAGTGCCTAATAATGCTTGCATAATGGATTAGAGAATTTAATCACCGAGCTTCCTAGAGGTGTGCTGAACACATGCAGATCCTTATTAGATGAAAAAAATCATAAAATATACAAGATCAGTCTATCAAATACTAATAATCTGAGAGTAATTCCCAGCTGACTGGTTGAATAAAGTTGCTCAGAAATCTGAATGGTTTTTGCATCAGAAAATTAGAGTTCGGAACTGGGGGGAAAAACCTGAAGAATTAACATCTCCTAAAATATTAAATTATTTTAGTTTGTTGAAATGTTTCATGATTTTTTAAGGTGAAATATTTGAATCTCATTTAAATTTGTTAGGTTGCATACTGTATTAAATGTAAACCCCAGAAATAAGCAAAACATTTCAAATGGAAAAGTGATACATTGTGTTTTAGTGAGCACAGAAATATTGCTTTTCAAACTTCTCTCTTCTTTCATTCCTTTTGAACACTGCAATAAAAACAAACACATATGAACAAATCACAATGCAACAGAACTTTTCAGTGAAAAATATTCCTTCAGAAGAACTCTTAATATCTTCACACATAAATGTATTCCTTCTAACGATCATCCCCATCTTTTTTATTATTTTATTTTTTTTTTATGGAGGCAATAGTGCATGGAATTCAGTGTCTCTGCATGGAAAAAAATAGGTAGATGTGTCTATTAGGCTATTATTATCATCACTTTTAGATTATTGCTGAAAGGTTACCTCTCACTGATGATCTCTATCAGATCAGTAATCAGGCTATCATTGTTATTACATTTCCCAGAGACCCCAGGTAGGAACAATTTGGCCTCTCAGCAGACTCTGCTCCATCACAAGACCTGCAGATATGGACGTTCACACCTTAGAACAGACATGCTCTTTGGACAAGTAATGTGGGTGGGAAATTTTCCTGTTTCAGAAATCATGGAGGGGTGGAGCTCTGACTCAATGTAATAAAACACCTATGCAGCAACTTCTGACACTCTTCAAGGCTGTAAATTTGTTTCAGGAGGCACTGGTGACAGTGGAGCATAATACTCAGGGGCCATGCACAGCACCTGCTTTTAATGCAGCAGTGATCTCGATGGCATCAGCCTCTGCCTTCCCTCGGGTAAGTGGAAAACAGAACAAGTCTGGCAGGTGACTATGAATATTTGATTCAGATTTGTCCCCAGACTATAAACAAGTCAAGTCCACTGTTACATGTAGACATAAATCTCCAAGAAAACAAGACTGTCTTTCATTGGCTATTTGTGCTATGAGGACGTGGAGTCAGTATTTTTCCATATAGCACAGAAACAGCTGCAGCTTTCCTGGCACATTCATTTTATCCACCACAAACAATGAGGAGGTGTGAATTGCCCATTCCACATTGCAATTCCATGTTGAGGAGCTGAAATAAGTAGAAAGATTGGTCTTTACACTGTTTTTCATCCCTTGTTCTTCCTGTCTCAACAGCATTCAAGCAGCAAATCAAGCCTCTTGGAAAACGAAGAAAGAAAATGGATGATGCAGTGCATAGCCCCAAGCAACGTTGGTGTTAAGGTACCAACTTTGGCAAAGTAAAAATAGGTGGGACTAAGCCAATGTTTTTTTGAGATGGGTGAGATTTATTTTTTTTTTACCAAATTAGGTTATTAAAGATCCACATGCTTATTTAGAAATAGGAACATTTAATGAAAGAAAATTCTGCATTCCATTATTTTTTTTATACCATTTCTTTATCTATTTATACAAAATGTGCTATTTTAATGGGTGTATTCCTTAGAGAATTTCCTTAGGGAGAATGTTCTCAAGGTACTGGTAAAATGGGACTGACTGGCCTTCTTTTAATGCTATCTATCTCTATTAACTTTAATGGAGTCTTAGCCTTGCATGAATGGAGAATATTGCTAGTGTTGGAAAGTTAGAGCATGGCTGTTGGTGATCCTTTGGGTCTTGGTCATTAATGCCAGTTTCCAGAACAAATGCCCACCTTGAACATTGTATAGCTCAACAAAAGAAAACTCTGGCAACCTTTGCAGGGCTTGTAGCAGAGATATATTTGCATCAAACACGTACTAGCTGTATCAGTGATGCTTTCTGTCTCTGCTTTCAGTTAGTTTGCAGCTGACTATATATTGTTTTAAGCTGCCTCAAAATAAAACCAGGGGGGTTCCAAACAAAAAGCTAACTTACTTTTGATGGTATCTTAAATTGTGTGTGATTCAAATGTCTATAGCTCATAGGAAATCTGTATGTTTAATTTCTTGTTTGTGCAACCAGACTTCCAAATCAGTAGAAAACTACAAACATTGTTTTACTTATGTATGTCACAACCTTATCAAACCGATTGATCAAACTGATCTGTTATTAGTAGTATTCTGGCAGCTCCTACCTATGGAAATCGGTGTACAAAACGGGTGACAGACTATCAGTGGGGTGTGGAACTTGCTGTAAATGGCAAAGTAGCATAACCAAAACTGACATGGCGTTTAGGCATTCATGATTTGCTCTCTGTGTGTATGTGCTAAAGCTCAGCAAGAGAATGTACTAAAGCAGGAAAAGTAACTATTGGGGAGTGCAGTGACCTGATCTCTATAGCATTTTTGTAATGATTTATTGTATTTATGCTGAAGCTGTGTTTTTGTCTAGACTATCCATGGTTAAAAGCATCCAACCCTTCTTTACGACTAAGGTAGTTACACGTAGAAAAATCCTGTGGCCAAAACCCACTACATATAGGGGCTATGGGACCCTTTCTATAGCTTTAATTTGATGTTCTTGTCATAATTTCTCCTTATCAAATGAACCTCCGAAAGTTCTGTTTGCTATCCACGGGTATTTCACAACGAGGACATGCTCAGACACTCTTTATTTGCTCCTGGCTTTTGAACATCTTCTCTCCTCTGTAATAAAGCTTGGCAGAAAACTGGCATTAATGGCACAGACTTGTGCAAGATGGCCAATTTCTGCCTCTTACTGGCATTCAGTTTCCTGGACAGCCTCCAACAATTCCCCTGCTTTTTGCAAGCCATAGCTTGCCATCTGCAAGAGGAGGATAATCATTAGCAGAGAGGTGTTATGAAAGATAACATGCTTATAGCAGATTTTGAGTCTCAGAACTAGTAAACAGGTGCAAAGCTTTCCTAATGCTAATACTCAAATATTTGCCTGAGTACTTGATTCAGTTTGAGAGGAATTTGCATAGCTGTGTGATAAACTGAATAGTTACTGGATTGGGTTTAGAAAAACATGCCCAGGGGCTGTGCATGGAATTTAGCTGTGTTGCCTACCTACAATGCAAAGCCAAATATGCCCCACCACTAAATTTACAGGAAAATGTAACAACCTTGTGCAACCTCCTTCATATTTTAAAGTGGATAGGAGCATTAAGAGAGCATCTCTTTAGCTGTTTCAGGGAGTCCTGGGTTGACAGTTTTCTTTCTAGCATCTTACACGTGAATATAGGAAAGATGAAACATACTAAAGGAAGATCATAAATAGTTGTGAGTAAGGTAGCCCATAATTGCAATATATCTAGAAAATTTGTCACTGGATATTATTTGTTAGGGCATTGTCTTATACAGAATAATTCGTTATTCCCAAAAATGAAAAAAACAAGGGTATTTTTCTTGTCAAAGTATCAGCTTAAAACACTAGTTGTTGGTTCATCACCTGTGAATGCACTGAAAACATATACAGTAATGCAGAGAGCAAGAAACTAGGAAGCATAATCTCAGCTCAAGATCACTAGTATTAACATAAGGCGGGGAGGCTCACCAAAGTATTCTGCTGGACAGAAAATCAGAAAACAGAAAAGAACTAAGAGAATTTTAATCAGATTTTGATTTACATAAGTGATACACATAAACTGATGTACATTCCTTAACAGTTTGCTGCAAAATTAGAAAAGGCCATGACATTACCAAGGGTCCTATCCCCTACCCTCCTAAAAAAGAAGAATCTGTGATTGAAGTGTGGCATGTAAAGTTACATTTTGCAGGGATAATAATGAGCCTTTAAGGAAGGCTGCTCAGTCTGAACATCACTGTGTCATTGCAGGGATAAGTTCAGAGGTTCAGGGTACACAGATTTATCTTTGTTAGAGGTGACTGCAAGAGGATTTGCTCATCTGTGTACTGTGCATTCTCAAATTGTGGTAATACTTTATTTGCTGTAGGCATCAGGAATTGCTCCTGGCTTAATATGGAATGCAAATTTTGTGCTGAAAATGGCTGTTTGTGATAATTAGTCACTCATAGATAGTTGATTACATTAGCAACTCACTGAACTAACCATTTTTTTAATGTAACACAAATGATAATCAGTAGCAACACACTTGCTTTGTAGTTTATTAGCATTCTTCAATGTATAATTGCAATTAAACGATGACTAGAAGGAAAAGATGATAAGTTTCAGGACTTCCATTGATAGCACCAAGGACTTGAGCTTCAGTTATGTTATTTTGCTCTTTGAGCTTTCTGGAGTAGTTTTCATGTCTAGCATTTGGCCATCAGAAAAGTATTATGTGAAGTAAGTTTTCCTTAACTGCCTTCTCTAAGGAGGATAAGTCTTTCCTTTTCATTTGTTTCAGAGATTTGCTTTATAGTTAATAGTTCACTTGACGGTTAGCAGTTCTCTTCAAAGGAATTGGTGTCTCAGATTATTATGATGACCACTAAATGTTGTTCCTCCTTTGATGACTTAACAAGGGGATGAAAATATTTTCTAGAATGGATTTTTAAATTTTTTTTTTCCCTAAGGACTTTGATTTGTGTGATACAGCTATCTGGGTGTTATATGGAGAGAAAGCAAGAGCGGTTCAGAGTACAGACTGGTTCTGAGTGCTCTGAAATCCCTTTTCTAACTGGTTAAAATGTTGGGAATATGGAGACAAAACTAGCATTTTTATTATTCCTTCAAATTTAAAGTAATAATTGTTCTTGGGTGCAGGCTAATACCAGAAGGGATTTTGCTAGTAATCGATGCTGACCCGATGAATAGACCCAGGGTGTGTGGCTCAGGCTGAGGGAAGCTCATGGCTGTATGTTCTCTGCCACCAGACTCACTTACTGAATGCACCTCTCAGGTTCACATCACTAGCTCTTCCCTCTGTTGTCAATTCCTGGAGTCTCTTTTTCTGTTCTCTCTCTTGTGGTCTCTCTTCCATGACTGAATGCTGGGTGCGCTCTGGCTGACACAGCCTGTATCTTGCTGTCTCACAGTACTCAGATTTCTCAGACAACCCAGTGAGATTTTATCCTGGTATGCAGTTTCCAAGCACAGCTCACTGGCTTTTCTCTTACCCAGCACCTACTCAGAGCTCTCCTCCTGGAGGTGAGAAATAATTCTTGCTTTTCATTCAATCAAATTTCTAATCTGTCTGTTATGGCTGACTGGTTACTCTGACCTATTGTTCCCTTGGCATGTTATTCAAATTTAAGTAAACTCCTGATCTTTGCACCAAGCCATCTTCCTGTGGCACCAAATATCCTCTTCCACTTTCTCACCATGATTCCACATGAAATTAGGTGTTTAAACCCCTGTGTGTGCTTTGACACTATCTAATCTGTGTAGTATCTGACTTCTTCGTGGAAACACTGGGTACGTTCTATTGTTTTGGGGTTTTGTTTTTCCTTCTTAATATAGCCCTGTCATACTCCAAGTCTCTTATCAGTTTGTCCTCATTTGCATGCAAAGTATGAGGTTCTTGTGATGCATTCTTCACATAACCTCTACTCTAGTCTGCTGCAATGGCACTCAGGAATGAGCGCACAACCGGTCCTTGGTGTAAACGTGTCTCTGCAGAACCCACGCCTGTTTCTGTTTCTGTCATTCTACTTCTTAAAAAGTCATTGTAGTTCATACATGTCTCTGACAATCTTTAAAAGCACGTGTTCCAAAATATTGGCTGAAGGACTGATGCTGTTAAAGAAGGCTAAGAGAGCCCCACACTAAATGCAATTCCTTTAAATCTTTCCTTTATGTCTCCTTAAATATGTCTGCTGAAGTTTTTATGTGTTTCTGTAATTTGGGTACTACTTTTGAAAAAGATATAGAAATAAATGGGCAAACCCAGTGAGTGTTTGTTCCTTAAGAACAAACCAGTTGAGGTAAGAAGACACGGTTATTCATTGCTGATGAAAAAGGAACGGTCTAACAATCATGGTTGAAAAAAATAGTGTGGAACTGGCTCAGCCTAGATTCTGATAATGCTGAGATCTTACCTCCCTTGTTTAGAACAGCCCTATAAAATATCCTGTGCCCTACATATGACTTCAAGCAACAGTGATTAATTTCCTATTTAGTTTCAGAATACACCCACCCAGAAGCCAAGATCTTCTGTTTGCTGCAGGCTCATAAAGAGAAATTTGTTCAGCACTTAATAGTCCTCTTGTTTTGTGTGTGCTGCTTCTGTATCTCACAGCAAAAATTATTAGCATTTCAACTAGACAACTTATTGAAAACATTCTGATATTAGGATTCCTGGTTATAAGCTTGAACTCATGGGCAAAGCTTTATGGTTATTTCAGGCACTGGTTAACTTTTATTTAATATGACTTTAAATTACCCAGCATTTTTTCAAAAAATAACTCTTGCCATTTCACTGGATAAGTTCATAGCTTGAGAATTACTGCAATTTTTTTCAAATTTCTTTTATGACCTTCATGTATTTCATCCTTGTAGAGATGGAAATTATTTGGCATGTTAAGCTTGATTTTGTCATGATGAATTCCCCGTGGTCCAATGCTTTACACACTTCAGTTGATGTACTGTCTTGTCTCACTGACTTCTTATACTTTGACCTTTTTAGCTGTCTTTGACTTTTGTCACAGTAGCAACATCTGTGAATTTGCTTTCTCTATTTCACTCGAGAGTTTCTCCTTGTTATTTTAATTGAATTTTCTCAGAAAATAGATAACATCTCATAATTATTTCATCATCCTCCACCATCACTCCTCCGTTTTCACTTCAAATAATCTTCTAAAATTTTTGGTAATCAGCTTTCACAACAGCTTCCTAATTTAGTCACCTTTTGTTGTTGTTTCGCGAGGTGACTTTACTAAGAATTAATGATTTATTTGTCTTTTGCCATTATCTCAACTCCTCCTTGAGCTCTTCCTGAACATCAGTGACTACCATCAGGCCTTCACGTCGCTGCAGTGGCCACCTATTCCTTGGCTCTGATACATACTGTGCCTTCAGTGATTATTTGGCTCAATATCTTCCTGCAAATCTACAAGTGTCATCATAATTAGTTTGGTCAATTTATAACTTCCACAGACCCTTGCTATTAGAAAGGCAAACTAATGCTTCCCTATTCCTGAATCTACCTCATTTAATTTCTATAACATTTCAGTCTTATTGATGCTTTACTCAAAAGTCCTTAAGAAATTATTATTATTCCATAACCTGACTCTCTCAAGGTCACTTTTTAGTACATATGTTATACTATTTATATCCTCACCTCTTATTGGAGATAGCCAATTCAGAACATGCTGATAATGCTTTGTATGCTGTCAGCCCTCAGGATTTGACAGACTTTGAAAGAGTATATTCTTTGTCATGCAGACCCTCGTCCTCTGGCATTCACTGCAGTCTTACTGAGTTACCCCAACTATCTAATGAGACCCGTTCTTATTATAATCATACATCAGCTTGGGAATTTATTATTCAATATAATCTCTGAAATTCCTCACTTTCTTCTGCTTCTGTGTCTAAACTATGATTTAGGTAGCCATCCCCAGTGCTGATTTACCCTTTTCATTCAGTTTCTTGTGTGCAACCATGGTGCAGCACTTTCCTTTCTATAAACTTCAGCAATTTTGACAAATTTTCCACAACTGTTCCAGCAGTCAGGGAATTTGGACAGACATCCATGCTGCAGCCATAGTAAGCTTTGCCCATTTTTTTCATCTTTCTGCTGATACCCTAGTTGCTCTAGCAGCTGCTGCTGGACATGATGGATGTATTCTCTGAAGATGTAAAATCCCTAAAGTACATGTGATTGGCACAACTTTCACAGACCCAGTTGGTCAGGCCTGGCATCTTCAACAAGGAATTGGAGATAGCCTTCTTTGAGACAGACTGTAATCAAGAACCACGTACTTTATCATACTACTCCATGTCTATCCATCAGATAACCACATTTCATAAGGAAAACTTCTGTTCCCACAAAGCAAGCTAGGAGTGTTTGTCCAAAGCTGTGTATTGCGTTGGTGGCCTGAGGCATTCCCAAAGGTGCTAATACTAATCCTTAGACAACTCTCCATCGTGAAAATTATTATTTTAAAAACAAGTGAGAAAACTTAAAAAAATCACTTTTTTTTTCAACCAAAATCAGAGCCTCCTGTCCCCACTTTTGTATTCATCTTCTCCTTCCACACTTTCTGTTTGTATGCTTAGGTGATTGCAGACTTTAGGAGTTGATGAAGTTTGTGGAGAAGGTGAATTTTGTTGCCTATTGTATTTTTGCTGTCATGCCAGCTGGAAGAGATGGCTTCAGCAGAACTTGTGTTCCTTTCAGTGTTTGGTTGTCATTACAATAAATACACATATCCCAAACTTGTAAAGCCCATCTCCTTTGTTGTTTTGTTTTGTTTTTCCAGAAGGAAGAAATATCACCTTACTCCCTGCTCAAAGTAAGAATCATAAAGTTGAGAAATGCTCATCAGGCAGATTTTTGTAAGTACCAGATTTCCTTACTGACCTTATACAGTACTAAAATTACTCAATCAGCCCCTGTTTGTGCTAGCCACTGCACTAATGAAAAACACAGAAGTCATACCAGCTAAGAAATCACAATCAAAGCCAATTTCTGCCACAGAACATTTACAATTCTATACATTTGTTGTTTGTTTGGTTATTTTTTTTAAGAACGCAGCAACAGGTCAATGCCAGGTAGGTATTGATTAAATCTTTAAGACTTTCATCAGTCAGAAAAGCACAGACTAGTTAGATATTTCAGAGGTGTGAAAATATCCTAGCACTGGTTTTAAAATCAAAGTGTTTATATCCCATATCTATAACAAATACATAGAATTTCAGAGCTGAAATCTTTACACATCAGTCGCTCTTAATTCTTTGCTCTGAAGAGCCTTGCCACATCTCTAAAATTCAGTGAGGTGTATAATGTACATCCTGAGCAGCCACACTGTTATGGATAAAAGATGTATAACAGAAATCTTTTGGGGACTGTAGTACATGGTACATTACAACTTACATGCAAAGTATTCTGAAAACAAGTGGTATTTGGCCAGCCCTTACCTGGTGCTCAACTTCCACAGAGGTTTTTCTCCACAGAATTTTCTCCTTCCATTTCTACATGTGTCTCATGAACTTGGCAGGTCAGTAGTAACTACAGTTTTGCATATCCTTTGACCATATTGCTCTTTCTCCTTTTGCTGTGCATTTTCTTTCCTTTTTGGGAGATTGTGTTGAAGTTCAGTAGCACCACAGCCTCTCCACTGCCCAACATTTCATATAAAATGCTACCTTGCCCCTCTGTTTTCCCACTTCTTAATATTCTTAGTATAGGTAGAGGATCCATCAAAGTGAAAAGTCATTTACAATTTCTGTTTGCACAGACCAAGCAAGAGTCAGTTCTTTAGCTATGGTACTCCAAAAATGTGGTGGATTTTGTGCAGTTATCAAAGTTGTCAGAGGAAATGGCTGTACATTGCATGTCAAGGACTCTTGGCTTGTCCTGAAACACTCCCTGAAGTTAGAAACTTAGAAAATATCTATGACAGGCACAACCTTTCCAAAGAAATAAGATGAGGTGCCCCATGCTACCAGTAAACCAGCAGCTCTGCTCCAGATCGCTTTGGTATGGAAACCCTAGCAAGTTTTTCTCAGAAGACTACTTTGGACTAGACTCTTCACTAGTGGACAGGCAGCTCTGAAAGTCCATCTTTCCATGAGGCAGCAAGCCATGAGACAGACTTTGAGGAAGCCCAGGGACATGTCAGGATACTTCCTTGTTTTCTCTAAGCGAGCACTACTAGCCCTCCACTGGGTAATTCAGAGACTGCAACGTTTTGACCACAAGCGCTACCATTTATTATCTTCATCTTCTGATGAGAAATTTTTTTTGTAGAATATTGTTCCCCTACCTGTTCGCTTTTCACTCTGGTGTTTCAAGAACATGGATGTCACTGTTGTCAATTTTCCATCCAAATGAAAAGAAGTGTTCAATTCATGTGTTCTGTAATACTAGGTTGCAGAGAGTAGAAGAAATATCATAGGATAGCAAAGGGGATCAAATTAATTTCTATTCTTTTTTACAGCTATGAAACATGGCACATTCGTGCAAGACCTCACTTTAGTTCCTTTGAAGTGTTGGTTAAATTTCTTTTAGTATCATCTTTGATCTAGAATGGAAATTGAATGACAAGATAAGAACCATGATTCAGCGGCTTATGCAAAGGGATTGCACAAAGTAAAATGATTCTGTGTTCTCAGAAAACAGTGTTACTGTTATGACCTTGTCCTCCATCCTGAGGACAGTGAAATTTCAGAAGTCTTGCATAACAAGATGCAGACGTTTTAAAAATTCACATTATCACCAAAATGTACATCTCTGGAGTAGGGTCAAGATGTGTGGGCTCAGTTTCTAGCTCTGCCAACAGACTTGTATAGGTTTAAGCAAGTCATCCAAACACTCTGTGCTCCCGTTCCCCTATCTATAAAACATGGATAATAGAGTATCTTATCCCACACACGTTCTCTCCTCTGTTTAGATGATGTGATCATTTTGAAAGGGGCTGTCTCTTATTATGTGTATAGAGGGATCCTGATTTAAGATGAGAGGCAAGTCCTAGAAACAGCAAGAAGTATCTTCAGATTCTTTTGTTAACTACCAGTAAACAAGAATTGGGGACCAGCAGGTGAAGAAAAGGATGCCTTTCTCTCCTTTCTCTTGGTAACTTCCCAGGTACTCAGTGACTTTGGGCCTGTTTCTTAAGGATGTCATTCCATAATAAAGCACTGTAAACCAGCATGCTGTTGAACAAGGAAGATAAGTAAATATTAAATAGCTCTTTGATTGAGCAGCAACCTGTCTGTGCTTTCAAAGAAGTTGGAGTCTCCCAGAAAAGACAGTGTGATACCATATAGTTTAAATACTTCAGTTCAATGCAAAAAAAGATATCTTGTAATTTTTAATTTTGATTCATTTTGATTAATCTTGATTTTGCACTGATACTGATGTCCTTTTAGATTAATATTTTGGTTTAACGTTTGAAAGTATTTGAAGTATCAGAAAACTAAAATAGCTACACATGCTAACGTGCTGATGAGAATTAGAAAATTATGTTTACCTAGCCTTGTCTCAGCAATACAATCTTTTACTCCTGAAAAACAGATTATCAGCAGCTGATACAGGTGTTATCTGACTGTGAGATATCAGTAGAAGGCTGACAACTGTTGTGACAATATTTCATATTTCTCTAGACTTTCATCTTCCAACTATCAAAGTCAGGAACAAGCCACCTTCCTGACCATGTGCAGCAGCTTCTATGATTTGCTTTTACTGCCTGTGTGCTGGCTTCCTGTCTTTCTAAGTATGCACAGTTATCTGCTTGCTCAAGTTTCTGTTCACCTCCACTTGGCCAAAACATGCTCCATTTCCCTGATTTTCTCTGTTTGTTGGAAGTGCAGTCAGGCCAGGTCCTTTGGTCATAGGGTTTTTGTACTTTTCCTTGACTTACTTGACAAATCCTGGCTTCAGAGAACACCACTTTCTATATACTTTCACTGACATTACTCACTATGGTGTGCATCCAACTTAATCCTGGGTGTTTTTGAAACGTGCACCTCAAGATCTGTGGGATGTGTGTTTCACAAGCCTGGGATGGAGTCCCAGTTTATCCTGAAATCTGATGTTACACCTTTGCCTGTAGACTACACATGATAGTGGAGCTTGGCAAAGATTGCATTTGTTTTCACACAAAGAAATAAAATTAAAAACATAAACAAAATGCCCCTCTCCTCCTCAATGGATCAATTAGCCTTTTTCACAACATCCTGGTGTCTAAATTGGAGAAACATGGATTTGATGGATGGACCACTCAGTGGAAAAGGAATTGGCTGGGTGATTGTGCTCAAAGAGTTGTGATCCACGGCTCAAGGTCCAAGTGGAAAGCAGTGACAAATGGCATTCCTCAGGTGTTGGTATTGGGACTGGTGCTGTTTAACATCTTTGTTGATGACATGGACAGTGGGACTGGGGGCACCCTCAGCCAGTTTGCTGATGACACCAAGCTGTGTGGTATGGTCAACATGCTAGAGGGAAGGGATGCCATCCAGAGAGACCTGGAGAGCTGGGCCCGTGCAAATGTTGTGAAGTTCAACATGACCAAAGGTAAGGTCTGTACACGATCCAGGGCAATCCCAAGCATAAATACAGGCTGGGCCATGAGTGGATTGAGAGCAGCCCTGCGGAGGAGGACTTGGGAGTAGTGGTGGACAGAAAACTGCTTGTGAGCCAGAAATGTGCACTCACAGCCCAGAAATCCAGCCATTTCCTGGGGTACATCAAGAACAGTGTGGCCAGAAGGTTGAGGAATGAGACTTCCCCTCTACTCCACTCTCATGAGACCCCCCCTGGAGTACTGTGTCCAGTTCTGGGGCCCCCAACATAAGAAGGACATGGACTGGCTCAAGCATGTCTGGAAGAGAGCCGTGAGGATGATTGAAGGGCTGGAGCACCTCCTTTATGAGGACAGGCTGAGAGAGTTGGGGTGGTTCAGCCTGGAGAAGAGAAGGCTCTGAGGAGACCTTAGAGTGGCCTTCCAGTACTTAGAGGGGGCTACAGGAAAGCTGGGGACGGACTCTTTATCAGGGAGTATAGGGATAGGATGAGGTGTAATGGTTTTAAACTGAAAGAGGGCTGAATTAGATGAAAAGCAAGGAGGAAATTCTTTCCTGTGCGGGTGGTGAGGTGCTGGCATGGAGTGCTCAGAGAAGCTGTGGCTGCCCCCTCCCTGGAAGGGTTCAGGGCCAGGCTGGACGGGGCTTGGAGCAACCTGGTCTGGTGGAAAAGTGTCCCTGCCTTTGGCAGGGGGTTTTGGAACTAGATCATCATTAAGATCCCTTCCAACCCAAACTATTCTATGATATACCTGCTGTTGGTCCACCACTTTTGTGGGCTTCTCTATACTTAGGTAACATTCAACACCAAGTTTTGCTTTGTACTTCATATAACAAGTTTCTGTCTTGTTCTATCATGCAAATGCTCTTGATAGATGTGAGCTTATTAGTTTCTACTGTATTCCTAACTGACCTTTATGCCAATTTGCAATCATGGGTCAGACTCAAACACACATTTCTGGCACTCCCTGAACTCCCTGTGAGCACTAGAGAGGCGGGTGCCCAGATAAGATCACTTACACTCATCCTGCTGCCCTGCAGGTACTGAGTGTCATCATCAGGTTCCAATGCTCATATGTAGTTAGGCTGGGGAGGTGGTGGGCACACTGGAAAGGAGGCAATTCTGGTGAAGCTTATGAGACTCTTACAGTCTGGAATCTGCTTTGCAGTGGTATTCTCTTCAGTCTGAGACTGTGGACAGCCTTGGGTAGAAGACTGACTTTTTTGGTCATTGGTGTGTTCATTTGCTCCTCTACAACTGGAGGCTAGTGCCAGAGGCTTTTACAAAAGCTCACGTTTCCTGTCTATTAGTC